TTCCCAAAAAGAAAGTAGCAAGCTGCTTCCTTAACATCTCCCAAGAGTCAAATTTGCCAACTTACAGATATTAGCCTTTCTACTGAAAAGACTATTTTCACTGAGCAAAGAGAGCCAGTTTGGTCTAGTGGTTAAACACCTGGTGGTAGAAGTCAGGAGACTGTGAGTTCTAGTCCCACTTTAGAGGCATCAAAGCCAATTGGGTGACTTTGGGCCAGTCCCTTTCTCTCAGCCCCACCCACCTCACAGGGTTGTTATCACGGGGAAACAGGAGAAGGAAAATTAGATACACTCGCCGCCTTGAGTTATTTATAAAAATAATAAAGTAATAAAGGGCGGGATTAAAAATGTTTTAAAAAATTAAAATTAAGTTTATCACCCTGAGTTTGGTGGATCAACTGAGATCAAAGATGCCACTTTGAAGACAGGGCAGGCAGGAGTGCACTTGATGGAGCCCTCTGCTTACCGAGCTGTTCTTCTCCTTCTTTGTCTCTCTCTCTCTCTCTCTCTCTCTCTTTCTCTCTCTCTCTCTCTCTCTCTCTCTCTCTCTCTCTCTCTCTCTCTCTCTCTCTCTCTCTCTCTCTCTCTCTCTCTCTCTCTCTCTCTCTCTCTCTCTCTCTCTCTCTCCCTCCCTCCCTCTCCCTCCCTCCCTCTCTCTCTTCCAGATATGGCTGCAATGAACCTCAACAACGGTTCCAGCGGGGCTTCTGACCAAGACACCCTGGGGCCCCTCCCGCACCCCTCCACCCCTTGGCCACTGGGGCAAGGTTATCCTTACCAGTATCCCCTCGCCCCTCCATGTTTCCCACCAGCCTACCAGGACCCCGGCTTCAGCTATGGCAGCGGAAGTGCGGGAAGCCAGCACAGTGAAGGTAGGCTCTCGGACGCCAGCTTCTGCCTTCCTGCTCCCCTGGCTCTTCCGCGTATTCCTTCCTCCCCTGCGCTCGCTTTGCCTGTCTCTTCTCACGGACCCTCGCGCCCATCTTGCACGCGGCCTGACTCCTAGCTACTGCCCTCAGGTAGGGGGACAAGGTTCGGCTGAGCTGCCTGCATGGATTCACACAGGTTCCTTAACCTGGTCAGGGAAAGGTCTAGCAGCTGCAACGTTTGCCGATAACGTGGCTTGTTGATCTTCAGGTGGGGCCTCCCAGGTCGCCTGTTTGATGCATTGGCGATTCACTCCATACTGTGCAAATGTAGAAAAGGGGTTTGGTTCAGCCAGCAAGTTTCGAAGGATGAGCGTTGTTCCCAACCACAACACTTGTTCTGAGTTCAGAACAATTCTGAACAATTCAGTGCTGGTTCTTGCAGAGCTCCCAGCTTGCCAGCAAAGTACAGGTGGTTCTCGACTTACAGCAGTTCAATTAGTGACCGTTCAAAGTTACAACAGCAACGAAAAAAGAGACATACGACTTACAACCTTCACGGCACCCCTCCCCCAGGGTCACCCGATCAAAATTCAAACGCCTGGCCACTGACTCATATTTATGATGGCTGCAGGGTCCCCGGGGTCATGTGATTCCACTTTTGCCACCTTCTGACAAGCAAGGTCAATGGCATTAACAAATGCCTCGCTTAGCAACAGACATTTTGGGCTCAATCGTGGTTGAAGGTCGAGGACTACCTGTACGTGGCTGCCTTATGAGTGTATTTGTGTCAAGAGGGCCCGAGTTGTCTCCAGTGGCTCTTCTGGCTGACATGTGTTGATGTTTTAAGTGTTGCTGCTATGACATTCCTCCCGGGTAAGGAACTTTGCTTTCGGTAACTGCTCTTTCCTTGTTTTATCCTGAGCAAGCCTTAGATTGAAGGATTCGTAAAGGATATGGTAAGCATATTTTTCCTCCCTTCCAAAGGTCATTTCCAGTCCATATAGATTCTCATGTCTTTTCTTTCTCCCCTCCTCTGGAATTTTGAACTTGTTCCTCCCCACTTCCTCATCTGCTCATCTAAGTCCTTTATTTAAAAAAAAAACACATCGAAACCTGCTTTGGGCACCTTGGACCCTGGCCTTACTGCTTGCAGAATTCCTGGAGAGGCAGAAGCCGATCTTGGTTGCAGCTAGAGTTGTCCGGAGTCATTAATCAACAGTTTTAAATCACACCTCAACCTTTTGTGGACAACACTTCAGCACCATGGAAAGTTCTGCGCCCAGAAAGAGGTGGTTTCTACAGAAGCCGCTCAGCAGAGCTAGCCTGTTGAGCAAACCAGGATTGCAAGCTAGCTTTCCTAGTTTGCTGCCATTGAGCATCTTCCCAGCGGAAGTTGACAAAAGGAAGGAAAGAAAGCAGGTAGCTGGAGACGGGGGAAAAGCCCTCTAGCTTTTCTGCTAGAAGGTCAACAGTCTGTTTTCTGCTGGGAAGGAGCTTAGGAATCCTATCACAACACCCCCAAAAAGCTAGTCTCCCCCTCATTCTCCGTCCCTGAGTCTCTGAGCATGGCATCGGAGGATAGGAACTCAAGGACTTTCTTTCATAACCCTAAGAGTTTATGCCGACCGGCCCGTAGCCCCAAAAGGCACTGACTTCCTTGAGACACGCCAAGCATACAGAAGCACAGGCCTGTTTTTCAAAAAAAACAAAGGGGACGAATTCTTCAGGAGAGACAACCTCGCCCACAAGCTTGTGAGAGCAGAGTGGCTATTGAAAAAGAACGGGATATTTTACTAGTGAGGGCCAAAAACAGCTGGAAGGTAGTCACAGTACAACATTTTGTTACCGGGTCCCCTCTGGAAATCTAAACTCCCCCAAACCTGGGATTTCGGAGCCCAGGGACTCCCTATTTGCACAGTTCTTTATCCCGACATTCAGTTTCCGGAGTGTCTCTTCTTTCCTGCTGACGCGGCCTGCTTTGTTTCATCCCCTCAAACGCAACGTCGCAATTCTGCGCCCGCTTTGCTTTGCTTTGCTTTGCGCATCTCCGCATGTTTCCGCATCCATCTTCATCCATCTTCCGCATTCATCCCACGGTCTCTGCTTCATCGCTCCCAGGACTTTTCCGTGGCTCCCAACCACCTTTTTTCTCCGGGGCCTAATCCAGCTTCGTCTCTTCCTCCTCCTCCTCCTCCTCCTTGTCGCCCCCCCCCTTCCAGGAAGCAAAAGTAGCGGCTCTAACCGAAGCAACAGCGAGAACAGCCGGCGGCGCGAGAAGGACCGCAAGTCAGCCGGCGGCGGCAGCAGCAGCGGGTCGGACCCAGCCACCTGGAGCGGGGGTGGGGGGAGCGTCCTGCGGCACGAGAGGCCCCCCAGCCAGCTTAGCCACCGCAGCCACGTCTCGGCCACCCTCAGCCAGAGAAGTCCTCGCAGCCACCACTCTTACGGCCCCCCGGGAGGGCTGCCTTCTCTGGGGAACTTTGCCAAGCTGGGAGGCAAAGTCTATGCCATCAGCGGGCCGCCCGGAGGGCCCCCCGTGCGAGAACTTGGCTCCGTCCCTCCTGAACTGACTGGGAGCCGCCAGTCCTTCCAGAAAGCCATGGGCAACCCGTGCGAATTCTTCGTGGACATCATGTGAAAAGAAGTGCCTTCCTAGAGAGTCCGCGCAGAGGGTTCCTGTTCTGTCGGCAGACTGGCCTGGGACCTTTTTTCTTTCTTTCTTTCTTTCAAAGCAACGGGGAAAGAGAGCGAAACACCCCCCCTCCTACTCCCCCTGCCCCCCCCCATCCCACCTTGNCCCCCCCCCCCCAGATATCTTAAATGAGCTTTGTTATGCGTGGCACCTTTTCTCAGTGCAATTTTACTGTGTTCTCCTTGACTTAACCAAGGGATCGTATTTTATATAATAGTTTAAAAAAAAAAAAAAGACAAAAGCAACACGGCAGTTCTCCAGTCCTGCATATTTTGCACCTTTAAAAAAAATATATTCTGGTTCCTTTCTTTCCAATCTGGGGGAAATAAAAACTTACAATGAGGAGGATTTGCTTTGATAAAGACAACACAACTAACCAGGGGCAATAAAGTTGGGTTTCATTTGTTGAACCCCATTGCAACAATGGGTGAATATCTCTCTGTGGGTCTGTTTCCTCCTTCGTTTGGGCTACTTTTCATTAAGGTTTTCTTTGCACCTGCTGAGCCTGGTTCCATACTGGCCTTTCCCTTAAGAAGGGAAAACCATTTTGTGAGAAACTCGATGGGTTAAATTTCTCCTCCAAAACAATGAACTTTTTGGTTGCCTATTTTACACCTTGAAAGAAAATTCTGGTGATTGTAAGGCTTCGGCAGGTATTCCAGCCAGTTATTGCCAATTGGTGTTCCATCCATCCCTCTCCTTGCTCCAGAAAGAGGGAGAATTGCTGCCTTTGTTGGTCATACACCCTAAATCTGGCATTGTGACTTGCCACTCTCTCTCTTATTCTGTTATTCTGTTATGTTTTGGCTGTTCTCCTAGCCAATGGTCAAGCTCTGCCTTGGAAAAACATCTCTCAGCGGTACTCTTGTTTCCAGAGAGGATTTGGCACCTGTGTTATGTGTTGGAAACAGCTGAAGCATTAACACAAACACACTCACTACCCAGATTTCCAAGCTGGGTGGCGAGAAAGTGCATGGTTTTGTTGACATGAGGAAAATTCTACCTATGTTGTGGTGCATTTCCCCCAATTTTACACTTAGATGCTTTGGTTTATCATGGCTATGTTTTCATCTGGATATTGTTTGCAGTTTCTTTATGCTACTGATTGCCCCCCCCCTGCTCTGAATTAAGAACATTTTATTGGGCTGGAGTGCATAGATCCTGGTTTCCTGAAAGGCCAATCAAAGTAGAAAGGAAAGAAGAGGGATGTGTGAGAAGGGGGAAGGAATTACATAGAGGGACAAAATTGTTCTCTATTTGTGTGACATTATCACCTGTATATTTTTTTCTCTTCAGGAGAAAACAGTGAAAAGGCAGAGAGGGAGAGAGAGAAAAAGTTCCAGAATGATTTGAGGAAAATAGAATGAGTCTTGTTACAGAATTTCAGATGCCAGTCAGCCATCTGTGCCCTTTCTCCAAGGGGCTCCATTCTGTGCCTCCCTCCCTCCAACTTTGACCATTGGATATGGGAGTGTGATGCAAATGCAACACAAGGCAGCTTTTGTCCTGTATGAACGTTGCAGTACCTTCCTACTGGTGTCCCCTTTCCCTGGATGCAGATGATGGGAATTATTGGGCACCAAACTGGCGAAGGCAGATCTTCAATCACACCTATATATCAAGGGCTGGCACTTGGGTCTCTGTGAATCTCCAAGCACTTTGTTTTTCCAGCTCTGGTAATCAAAGGAGATCCTTCAAGGTAGCAAGGGAATCTGTTCCCAACTGCTGATTCAAGTTGCTTTTTCACACATACCACACACACACAGTTTTTCTCTCTCTATAGTCCTCTATGGTAGTGGAGATGAAACAGGTTCCCTTGACTGGCTGTTGCTATTTTTTTAAACAATTCTGGCTGATACTTGGATTTTCACAGCTAATGGCAAACTGTAGCAAATGTTTCTCTTTGAAGAAATTGTATTGTGGTTTTCCACACGGCTGGTTTATCTTGCTGGCCAGCCTGAACCCACATAATCATGCAGAGAAGCTCGTCCTCATGAATTCATTGAAACGAGCATGTTTCAGCTTACTGAGTCAGAGACTCTTTTGAAAAGATGTGTTTACCCCTTTTAAATCTCTGACATATTCTCCTTTTCTGCTTCAGAGGGATCCCCAACTCCCAAAGGTTTTACCTAGCTGTGTTGGGATAAGCCAGCCATGTTTTGTGGGTGTGACCTTCCGTCAGCTTTCCCGTTCATCCTTCCTGTTGCCAACTAGTGAGCCTGTTTTGGGCCTGAAGAAAACATTGAAATTGGATATTTTGAGTTAGCTGCTTCTTCCCCTTTAAAGTTGCATTTTACTGGACAGTAAGGAATAATGTCAAAGGAACAGCTTAATTCTAATCAGGGATTAGAATGACACATAACAGAATTTATGTACAGTAGAGGGAAAAAATAGTAAATGAAATTAAAGGCAGGAAATGAAATCCCTGCCCACCGACTCTCTAAAAATCTTAGCATTGGGTTATACCCAAGATTGTGTTCTTGACGATGTGTGAATGGCCCACTCCCCTTATTTCCAACATCATCTTCCTTTTTCTGAATTTTGGGGAGGGCTTCTTGTAAATATTGTATGAAAAACTCCAGTTGTCTGTATAGTTAATATATAGCTACTTATGTGTAAATGCTATTTTAAACTCTAAAAAAAGCTTTTACTTTTATGTGACAAATGCACTTTCGTGATTTTTCTTCATTGGTGGTGGCAACATTTTATTCCGAGATATTATATATATATATTTCTGTTGTCTCTGTCTTTTATTGGTTTGTTCCAATGATCGGCATGCAATTTCTACCTGCTGTTTTCTCTGGTAAGACTGTCTTTATCTCTTCAAATCTCCACCCACTCTCAGGATTTAGCAGATGCTATGTGCACTTCAACTGGCTTAGTGTTTCAGAAATATTAGAATGGAATGGATCGGTACTCAAAGTGTCCATATACATCAACATACAGATATAACACAGGGCCGTAGAGCAGGGGTGTCCCACTTTGGTGACTTTTTTTAAAGATTTGTGGACTTGGTGGCTGAGGAATTGGCTGTCACTGAGAACAAAAGATTGCTGATGCACTTCTGAGTTGATTTGCCTTCACTGAGTCTTTAACTGGACCTAAAAAACCTGGATCTTTGCCTCTCGTAACTGGCTTGTATTGGCTTTGTTCTTACCTCCCACAGTTGTGAAGCTCTGGCAGAGTCTGGCTGGACAGCTTGGTAGTGCCAATTCTGAACGGGAACAGCCCACCCAAGAGGTAGTCTCCAGGCCTTCTAAACTGGGAAGACAAGCAGTTGTGTTGCAGGGCTACGGCACCATTGAAGGCAAGCCCGACCACTAACAAATATCATTTTCTTGTGCTGCATTGAGAAGCAGCTTTTGAGTGAGCAGCAATTCACAACTAGAAGCTAAACTAGAATGCTAAAAGGCAATTGTGAGTTGCAGGGAGGGACTGTCCAAAGAGAATTTGTTTCGCAAAATGTCACACCCCTCAAAGGCCGGGGGAGGAAGCTCTGACTGACCCACATGACGGTGCAGTGTTCTGCACTGAACTGCTTGGCAAACTGTGTTGCAGATTTCGTGTTTGAATACAAAGCCTGGAGGTGATCCCCAAAGGCAAAGGATACGGATTCTCCGCAGGTAAGACCTATCAGGGTCCCCCAAACTTTGTGACTTGGTACAGTAATCTATACTGTGATGTCAAGCATTCATCATATGATGAAACTCAACTGTCTGAAATGCTTGAATTATTTCCAAACTCATATTTTGCACCGCTGGAACACTCTGTTCGCCTTGTCCAAGTCCCTCCATCTCCTCCAGCCTCACAACACGAGGCTTGTCCAGACCTATGCTCAGATGTACTGCTTGGAATGGGATGGTGGGCCGGTCTGCTCATATTCTAAAAGGCTAGGAGGGTCATGGGATGTGGGGTGAAGATGAAGAGAAGGACCTTCCTGTCCCTAATTTGTTTCCTGCCATCTTCCAGCTGTCAGAACGTCAGAAAAAGAATGCCTCTGCTTCAAGCTGCAGTAGAGAGGTTTATTTCAGACTGAGCAATGCAAGCAGTAAGGACCAGAGTTGTTGCAGAATACATCCAGGCTCTAGGGGCAACCTCTTGAGGGCACCCCCAAACAAAGCACTTGTAATTTAAACAGACTTGGAGGTAGAAAATAGAAAAATATACCTTAAATACATCGATACCAAGAAAGAAATAACAACAGGGAATCCTCCCAATGGACTGTGACAAAAAAATATCCCATTTTGAAAACACACACATAAACAAACATAGTCGGATTGTCTTAATATCAGAGGTACAGCCAATTACAGTGTTTTGTAATGTTAAGTCTTGGTGTGAAAGAGGCAGGGTCCTCCCCCCCACTTCCCTTTGAAAAAACAAATTGCAGGCAGAGATTCAAACCGTAATCTGGAGGGGAAGGGCTGCTCCAATTGTTAGGGGCGAGTCTAAGCTCAAGACTCACTTTTACAACAGCGGCAAGAGTCTTAAGATCTAAAAGTGGTGCGGTTGCAAATGAAGGAATGCTGGCTTTAAATACTGCCCCGGCTTTAAAAGGAGTGAGTGTGTGTGATTTCCTTCAAAGCAGAAGTGTAGCTTATCGGTTTGTGCCCTAGCCGCCTCCTCAATTATGCTAGCTGTCTAAAGTTGCAAGTATTAACAGTAAGTTCTGAGATTGGTTACCAGATCTATAAGGAAATGAAATGTTCAAGTCACCGGTGGTTTCCTGTTTTGTTTTCTTTTTGGCTCACGACACAGAAAGTCTGTCTTTTCGTCTCTCGGCGTAGCCGTGCGCTGCTTAAACGGCACGTTTTTTTGGCGTGCAGAACAGAGCACGCCCAATAGTTCAGCTGTCAAGGAAAGGGGTGAAGCCCTAGAGGAGTTGATTGTCTTGTCTGGTTGAAGCCTCTTTCAGGACCAAGCCAATGGCCTTGCGTAGGAGGCTGTGAAAGTGCAGCCCTAAAGACTTAAGTGCACTGCCAAGGCAGAGGGACAAAGGTTAGGGGAGAACCTTAGTTGTGTGAAGAAGTGTCAGGAGACCACGAGAAACGAAAGATGATAATGAAAGCAGAAAAGGCATTTCCGATGTACATGTCGGTGGTAACCAATGGATTGTCTTAATGGCTAATTTTTTCTTCCTGTCCCAAAGATTGCATGCTTTCCAGCTGCTGAGCGAGGATGCAACCGTCAAGTAACCAGCACATGGGATAACCACCAGGATCCCTTTCCACACCTCCAAATCTATCCTTGACAAAAGAGTCATACACTGAAGGGAGAGATTGGCTAAGCTTCCAGCCTTAAGAGAGATTGTTCACAGGGCTTTTTTGGGGGCACCTTCTACCTCTGGGAGATTTTGGCAGGAGGATCAGCAGTGAGATTCTGTGGGGCATTTCTCAAGCACGCTTCTGTTCTTCAAACTGCTTTCAGGATGGCCTTCCAGGTGCCGAACTACAACTCCCAGCATCCTTTGCATCGCTGAGATGGGAGAAGGGTGCCAAGAGAGAAGGCTCAGAACTCCTGAGAGGGCTCTTTTGGCCCAGTGATCACAGATGTCTCTTGATCAAAGGCATCCGTGTTTCCCCAGCTCTCTGACTATTAGCTGGATGCAAATCTTTATCAAAGGCACCGCATCTCCTGGGGCGGAATGCTTGGTTGTGGGCGGGAGGAATGGCTCAGGCAAGGTGAATTGTTCAGGTCACCTGTCTCCTTCCACCTAAGGAAATCCTCTCCCCCCCCCTCCCTATTTTCACCTGCACTTAAAACCCTTTTCATGCGTAATTGGGTTGGGATAAAGCAGCACTTTCATGAAGCAATCCCTGGCATTGATCGATCGGTTGACAGACCAGAAAGGAAAATCTTGCCACGGTTCCAAGTTGTCCCTCATGCTGGAAAGGAATTGGCTGTAATGGTGGGCTGCAGGAGGAGGCAAAGAAAAGGAAAGAAAAAAGAGAAAGAAAAAAAGGAAAGAAAGAAAGAAAGAAAGAAGGAAGGAAGGAAGGAAGGAAGGAAGGAAGGAAGGAAGGAAGGAAGGAAGGAAGGAAGATCAGGGACTGGATGCATTTCTGGATCAAAGCTTTCGGAAGGAGGAAAAGGGGCAGAAGGAGAGCTTTCTGATTGGGGAAACGGCATAAAGGCTTTTTTTTATCTTCAGGGCCAGAAACCCAAACAGGGATGGCTTGAAGGCCTTGGAGCTTTCCAAGAAGAAACCCGGTTGAGCAGAGCAGGAGATTATTTCGACGAGGCCTGGGCTGCAGCTGTAGGAAGAGCTGCCGCTCTTGGGCCGGCCCCTGTCCCCTCAGGGCAGGTCGAGGAGCTTGTGCTCTGCGTAGAGGTTTTCCGTGATATCGTAGACCCTGCTGATGCTGGGCAGAGCCTCGCCCAGCATCTCAATGGCCTCCTCGGTGGTGCCCACTTCCATGTTCTCCAGGAAGGCGTCCCGGGTGGGCAAGGCGTAGAAGGCCATGGTGGCTGCCTTGCGGACGATCCAGGGGTGATAGTTAGCCAGGGAAGCATTGTAGGAATCTGTGCACAGCGTTGACGTCTTGGAACGTGGGCCGCTAGTCCTCAGGCCCTCCAGAAACAGGTGCAGCCAGTGCAGGGCCCGGTGGAGGCGAAGGATAGTTCGGCAGCCTGAGGCAGGGTAAGCGCCGGGCTCCCTCAGGTCCACCAGCCCGTTGGCCAGCTCGTACTTCACCATGGCTTGGAGGGTGATGTAGTCCTCCTGTTGCTCGCTGCTGCGGAAGTTCTCCATGATCTGGATTTTGGTCACCGCGTCTTTGGAAATGAAGGAGAAGATCGGCCCCATCGTGTTTAGAAACCTCCACGGAGAGAAAAAAAAACAAATGTTGTCAGGATAAAGTAATGGGAATTGACTCCCCCTTCCAGATTTTGTCAACACCTACTGGACATAGCGGTGTAGTGGGTAGAATGCAGTATTGCAGGCTAACTCTGCCCACAGCCTGGAATTTGATCCCGACGGGGCTCAAGGTTGAGTCAGTCCTTCCGAGGTTGGTAAAATGAGGACCCAGATACAGAATGATAGGTACAGATACAGAATAACAGAGTTGGAAGGGACCTTCCAATCCAACTGCCTGCTCAAGCAGAAGACCCTGTATACCACTTTGTTGGGGGGGGGGCTCTATGCAAATAATGCCTACATTGTAAACCGCCCAGAGAGTGCTGAAAAGCGCTATGGGGTGGCATGTAAGCCTAAAATGCTATTGCTATTGGCTGGGCTGGTGGGAATTGGGGGGGGGGCAGGGTCTCCGAGCCCACCAAATGTTTCTTCTGTCTACACAGGAAAGAGACATTGAATGCAATAAAATCTCAACACACTAACTAGAGTTGGAAAGGTTTTTTCTGTTATTTATGTCTTTTATGTAATTGCATCAATTATCCAGGCAGCTTTGGAAACAAGTGAACATCTTGTTTAAGGAAAAACTTCCTGACAGTGAGGACAATCAACCAGTGGAACAGCTTGCCACCAGAAATGGTGGGCGCTCCATCAGTAGAAGTTTTTTAAAAAGAGACTGGACAATCCCCTGTTCTGAGATGGTGTAGGTCCTCCTGCTTGAGCAGGGGGCTGGACTAGAAGACCTCCAAGGTCCCTTCCAGCTCCATTCCCTATTCTA